ATTCTACCTGAAGGAAGTAGAATAACCATGTAAGAGGGTTTTGTCTGTTACAACAAAAACCCCTTCGTCGACCGCGCTTTTCTATTAATAGAACAGTGTTGGCTTGTTTAAAAAATAGTCAGACTTAACCCCTTTATTGTTGTTTTTATAAAAACAACGTTTGTTTATTAGTGGAGAACGATGGTAATGTTTACCAGGGGGTAAGGCAGAGAATACTTAGGTTTCGGAAAAAACCACCAATCAGTTCCCTTGTTTTTTGTTTGGGATATTCTCCCCAAAAGATATTTTAAAAATAACTTCTATGGCAAAAAACATTTTTTACCCAAGTGACGAGATCGTAAGCTCAATAAAAGAGGAACCAAAGAATTAAATAAAACTAAAATTCTTTTGGAAAATCTTCTAAGTCTTACAATCGCACTTATAAACATTTACATCTTTCTCCACTCGTTATGCTTTCGTTCTACCTGAACGATGTATCATAACCATGTAAGTTGATTTGTCTGTTACAACAAAAACCCCTTCGTCGACCGTGCCTTGTCTATTAAAAGAACAGTGTTGGCTTGTTTGTTGGCGATAAGAAATTATTTTGTTGTTGGCTTAACCCCTTTATTGTTGTTTTTATAAAAACAACGTTTGTTTATTAGTGGAGAACGATGGTAATGTTTACCAAGGGGTAAGGCAGGTGTTCATAAAAGATGCTAGATTTTTGCGCAACAGTGTTGTTTGTTACATTACCGGTGGCTGCATAAATAACATCATAAAAAAATGATGTACATATACACACACACATGCACATATATGCAGCCACCGGTAAATTCCAATGCTGAATTCAAATAAATAAGCATCGTCACCAGCCAAAACAGGTTTGCTGTGACGATGCAAATTTGAGTTAGATGAGTTCTGTCTCGAATTTAAAAGCGCGAACGCAAGTTTCCCCCCCGAAGTGAACAGTGCCCAAAAACAAAAAAAACCCAAAGTGTTAAACAAAAAAAAAACATAATACAAAAAACATAAAACATTGTACAAAAAAAAAGGAAAAAACTAATTGAACAAAAAAAACCTAAAACTAAACAAAAAGTGTAACAAAAAAATTGAATTTTAATAAAACATTGAAATAAAACAATACAAAAAAAACAAAAATAAAACAACATCTTTTAATTAAAGAAAAACATAAAAAAAGGTGAAGTAAAAAACATTTGGTCCTCCAGAGCCGGAGAATAAAGTGAAGTTTTTAAAATATTAAAAACAAAAAACAAAGTATTAAGTGGACAGACACAGTGAAGTGAAACAAAAACAAAAGTGCATAATAAAATATAAATAAATAAATTAACAAAAAGTGACGTTTAAAAAAGTGCAACCAAAAGAAAAAGAAAAAAAAAATAGAAAATACACTGTGCTACAAAAAAGTGACATTAAACAAACAAATATATATTTTTTTTACAAATTTATTACAAAAAAGAGACAACACACAGTGCTACAAAACAAACAGAAAATACACAGTGCTACAAAAGTGACATTAAAAAGTGATACAAAGTGACATTACACGGTGCTACAGAACTAAAAGAAATTACACAGTGCTACAAAAATAAACAAAAATTAATTAAATTTTTTATTTTTTCAAATAAAAAAAGGTCTACACAAAAGACAAAATACAAAAATAAAAGGTGTGAAAAAAGTGACAGTACACAATATCACAAAAAAAACCAAACAAAATAAAGAAGTACGCAAAATTGTGGAAGCTGCCAGAAGACCACGAAGGACTCCGGCAACACAACAACAATACAACAACAACAACAATAGCAACACTACAACAACAAATTTTTGAGACCCAAAGGCTAAATCAAAGTGAGTACTCAATCAAATTTATCTTGTTGGACATAAAGGGCATACCGGGAGCAGGCAAATCCTCAATATTTGCATTGACCCGAAGATTCCCATACTTTGAAATCTCAAGTTGACACTTTTTAAAGTTGCTGCGTTGCCTCTAAGACACTTTTTTGAGGAAATTCCCCTTTTTGGAGCCATTTTGTGGACGGACATCTAAACATAGACTCACATAGGCGCAATAAATACTTATAAAATAGCGCGAATTTTCATACACATAAATATATAATATTGGAAATTGCTGAACGTGCAGTTCAAAAAATAAATAAGCGCCATATTGGAAAAAACATTCTTATTGGAAAATTGGCGTCACTTGACACATATAAACGCCATATTGGAAAAAACATTCTTATTGGAAAATTGGCGTCGCTTGACACATATATAAACGCCATATTGGAAAAAAATCTAGCGTCACATAAAAATATATAATCGCCATATTTTTAACATTTTTGGCGTCACAAAAATACATAAGCGAAATACATAGCAACCGTTTGGTGGACAGACGGATTTTGCAAATAATAGCGTCTAGTGGACGGACATGAAACAATACATAACCTAGAATTTTTTTCGGGATTTTTGGAAAAAAAATTAGATTGGCGTCTGTGGACAGACAAAAAAAAAATCGATCCCATATATAATATAACACATTTTTATTATATTTTACAAATATCTTAAAATTTTTAAATCAAGAAAAACATTTCTGGGACCCAAAATTTATTTCTGCATTTTTTCGCAGAAATATTTTGCTGGTATTTTTTTTTGCTTTTTGCTAAGACAAACATTTTGAAAGAATTTGCTGAACGAAAAAGTTAGATTTTCGTGGAAATTTTAATTGGAGTTTGACACAACAAACATTTTGCTGGAATATACAAATTTTTTGGAAAATTTTGCAAATTATTGGAATTTTTCTGGAAAAAAATTTTGTGGAACTTGACCCAATACTAGCACCTTGTGATTTTAAATTAATTACCTAGCGTTTTTAGAAAATTTGTTACTTCAAACAAATTTTCATAGCAATATTTTTGTCTCGTCAAAATTTAAAATTACTCCTGCAATTTTATGGTAATATTTTTGAGGATTCTTTGTTCGACAACCCAGCACACATTTTCATTTCAATAGAAAATATTTTTCATTTTTGGAAATATTTATTGAAAATTTTCATTTTCTACTATTTTACTGCTGGGAAAAAAACCCTCGTTGGTGGAAAATCAAAAATCTTTTGGTCGTTTTTGTAGCGTTTTTTGCCTGTACAATCCTCACCTTTACTCTTTTTGGAATAATATTGATTATTTCTGGATTTTCTTAAAATAAAATATCCCTGTGAGTGGATTTCAAGATATTTTATGACACCTTGGTATATCTTGATTGAGTTTGACTTCTCTGGACAACCCAGCAAACATTTTTAAACAAAATTATTTCGGCGTCTCATACAAAGTAAAGTTTTTGGGATTTTGCAAGAACTTTCAAATCTTTGGAACAAAACGAAATATAATTCGACCCAAACCAAAAATTGAACATAGATTTCGTTGATCAAATTGAAGAAGATAGCTTATCCTTATTTTTTAAAAATAAAATTTGGATAAAAGTTTGAATCTTATTCCAAGTCAATCCTTTTCATTGGGTTGCCTTTCCTTTTTGCAACACAACAAAATTTCGGTAAAGGTTAATACTCAGTCATCAAAATGGATAAGACTCTAAGCGAAAAATTCGCAAACTGCGTCAACGATCTTCAGGATTACATTTCAATTTTTTCAATAACCAAACCGGATGACACGGTTCATACTTTGGAGACAACACGTATGGAGTTGGATTCTGCATGGGACCAGGTCAAAAGGGCATATTTAGACTGCCGTGATTATGTTCCAGAGGAAGGAGGAAAAACCATCGACAAAAATAAACTGAGGAAACATTATATGGATACCATGGGATCATATAAACAGGCGCTGAGTTCAATAAATGGACAAATTCAAAATATTTTGGATGAAAAAGCACAGGAGAAAATGAAAAGAGATTCAGAGATGTCACAGCAAGGAAAGGAAGTGGATTTTACGCCAATATCACGGCTGCCGCCATGCGACACAGACACTTTTAAAGGGGGTTATCGAGAATGGCCGACTTTCAGAGATTTATTTTCGGCAATTTACATAAACAATTCAAAATTAAGTAATGTCGAAAAGTTATTCCATTTGACTCAAAAGACAGCAGGAGAAGCACGAGAAATTATAACGCATGTTCCACTAACTAATGATGGATTTGCACTAGCATGGAAAAATCTTACGGATCGTTATGAGAACAAAAGGATGCAAATTAATGAAGAAATTAAAACACTTTTTAATCTACCTGGTGTTTCTACAGACTCAAGTCACACTATTCAAAAACTACAACGCACTGTAAATAGCTGTATTCAAACTTTGGGGATGCTTGACGTCGATGTAAAAGGATGGGATCCGATTTTAATATACATTTGCTCAACAAAATTACCTAGAGGCTTCCTAGAAGAATTCGAGAACTCATTAAGCGATTGTAAACAAATACCAAAATGGGAACATTTTGACGATTTCTTAACAAACAAATTCAAAACCTTGGAATCAGTAGGGAATATAAAACCCTCAACATCAAAATTTGCTCAACAGAAGCAAAATAACATCAATAAACCTAGATTTTTGAAAACATTTCAAACAAATGTCGCAAAAAATACAACCAATTTTGGAGGAAGAAACAACTTAGCACAACCTCAACAAAATAAATCACAAAATATTCAAACATGTCAAGTCTGCAAATCAAACCATTTTATCAGGGATTGCAGCGAATTTTTAAAAAAGAGTGTAAATGACAGAATTCACACTGTGAAAACGTCACACTTATGCTACAACTGCTTGTCTTCAAACCACGGAGTAAGAGATTGCAAAAGTCGCTTTGGTTGTCGTATTTGTACTATGAGACATAATACTTTGTTACACAAGGGGTCTGTTTTTAGGCTTACCTTTTTTGCCTTTGAGCCTTTTGAAATAATAAGAAATTAGTTTTGTTTTTTATTTTGTGTTTTTATTTATTATTATTTAGATTTTTTCCCAGGGGTAATTGCAATATAGATGTAACATTAGGGTTTAGGTTTTTGCAATTTATTTTATGTTTTCAATAGTTCATAAGTTTTATTTAGTTTATTTATTTTTGTACATTTTAACTCACTAGTTTCTAAGTTTCAATTCACTAGTTTTAAGTTAATATATTCTTAAATTAATTAGTTTGTAGGTTTTAGAATTCAAAACTTTCGTTGCATAATTTCACCTTCTTGTTGTACGTTGTTTGGCTCTTTATGTTGTAACTTCACTGTTTTATGTCTCTATTTTTTGTAAAAGTTGTGTTATTAGTCTTGTTATTTTGGGGTTTTGTATTTACACTTTCACTTGTCACTCGGGGGGGAAACTCGCGTTCGCGCTAAGAATTCGATGAGAACTAATTATTCCCCAATTTGCATCGTCACATCAAACCTGTTTTGGCTGTTGACGATGCTTATTTATTGGAATTCAGCATTGGAATTTACCGGTGGCTGCTTAAATGTATGTGTGTATGTGTACGTGTTTACATTATTTACATCATTTTGTTATGATGCCATTTATGCGGCCGCCGGTAAATATCCAACCAACAGTGTTGGGCAAATTAATAGCAATATTATGAACATTTTCTGGGCCCCGAATGACAAGTGTAAGTATTCATTTCTAATATACCATAAGGATCCTCGGTCTTTAGTTCCTCGGCATGTTCTTGATTGGCCCAGCAAACACGTAGCCCAGTTGAGAATTCCAGCTGCTGTACACCCATCTTTCCTTATGGCTGAGTACGTATCCGCTCCCAGTTCCACATCGATCGGACTATTTCCTCTGGGATCAGGGTCAGCTAAAGCGTAGCTCGTGAAGCATCTAGTGGGGTCTTCTAGTATTGGGTCTGAGTAAATGCGTCTGGGCAGGTCTTCGATTATTAGCGCATTTACCTTCAGACGCCATGTAGAGTTTGTGCGGCGGGGCGAAACGGTGAAAGTGGTGAATCGCTCCCCTTTGTAGTTCCGCGACTGAAGACCCAAGCGACGGAAAGCTGCATAGGAAATCTTTGACATCGTCGCAGATTGGCTAATAATAGCTCGCAGCATACTAAACCCCTCCATGCCCTCGGCCGTTATGCGTACCATCGCTGTTGGTACAAAAACCAAATCCCATGCGAAGGCTGGGGTGGTGACGGCTTCTATATTCAGGGATACCTCATCCAATTGAGACGCCCCGTGCAAAAGGGTATGGTGCCGGTCGTTGCATCTCCGGCAACCAGTTAGAGACGGGCAGTCGGGGGCCAAATGACTTCTCGCCAGGCAATTTCGGCAATACCCCCGACGCTCCACGGTCTCATACCGCTGGAAGGGCGTCTGTCTGCGGAATCTCTCACAGGCACTGAGGGCATGGTCATCTTGGCAGAGCCCACATGAATATTGCCAGTAGCTTGGTCTTTCTTGGCGTTGGCGGGGTCTTGCGTCGGATCGGCTTCGTTGACGTCTTTCAGGGGATGTGGAACTGGGACGTATGGGTCTATTGGCGCTTCTTGCTGTTGGTCGGGCATTTGAGTTCGGGCTACGGCTGCTATCGTCTAGACGGCAGTCCTGGTTGGGCAAGTAAGCGGCCATATCTGAAAAGAAATTGAGGCGAGTACTAAATTCTTTTTTGAGTGGGAATCCGACTAGTCAGTCGGAAAACAATTTGACAATTTTTGTAATGGGTCTGCTAATGTTGCCACTTGCCGTCCGTATGTCTACAACCCTGGTATTTTGGTCACTACCTGGATACGTTTTTTCGATACGACCTAACTTCCATTCATGCGGAGCCAATCTATCATCTTTTACGACAACTAAATCTCCTTCTTTGATGTTCTCCTTTTCATATTTCCACTTAGTTCTTCTGTGAAGTTCGTGAAGATATTCTAATTTCCATCTGTTGCAAAAGTATTGTGAAATAACTTTGAGTCTTTTCCAACGATTGACTAAGCTTAAATCTGTATCTGAAATGTCTGGTTCAGCTGGGGTAAGAATAGGTGTTCCTATTAAGAAATGACCAGGTGTCAAAGGGGAAAGGTCGTTTGGGTCGTCGCTAGCAGGACTTAAGGGTCGTGAGTTAAGGCAGCCTTCAATTCTTGATAAAATAGTTGTAAATTCTTCAAAAGTGAAATTCATTTTTGGGATACTTTTTCGTAAATGAGTTTTAAATGATTTGACGCCAGCTTCCCACAAGCCGCCCATGTGCGGAGCACCAGGAGGAATAAATTTCCAAGTAAGATTTTGAGTGAAATTATTTTGAATTGTGCTATTTTGAATATTCTTCATGAAAGCTAGTCTATCTCGCTTTAATAGATCAACCGCTCCCACAAAGTTTGTTCCGTTGTCCGAAAATATACAAGACGGACAACCTCGCCGGCTAATAAACCTAGAAAAAGCGGCAAGAAAGGCATATGTCGACAAATCGCTTGTTGGTTCTAAATGTATAGCCTTAGTGGCGAAACAGACAAAAATGCAAACGTAGCCTTTTGTAATAAAGCAGGCTCTTCCTGAGTAACTTTTAATGTTAAAGGGTCCTGCAAAATCTACCCCTGTGTTTGTAAAGGGTCGAGAAAGAAAAGTTCGTTCGGGTGGTAGCGACGCCATGATTTGAGTTTGGGTTTGTTTTTTGTGAATTAAGCAAATTCGACAATTTCGTATGGTTTGTTTGATTAGCGACTTGAGTCCGAATATCCAGAATTCGGACCTTAATACTCGGGTCATTAATTGATTACCCCCGTGTAAGGTAACCTTATGAGTGAATTCGACTAACAATTTGCTAAGTTTTGCGCCATGTGGTAATATTATTGGGTGACGTTCGCTATATGTAAGGGCTGGCGATTGTACCAATCGGCCATTTGCTCTAATAATACCCTTTGAGTCTAGAAATGGGTTGAGGGTCAACAGAGGACTTGAAGGAGAAATTTGAGTCTTTTTCATAAGTGCGTTGTATTCGTCTGCATATACGAATTTTTGGGTACGAATTATACAAGATCGTTTTCCATCTTGGATTTCATCTGATGTAAGGTCGTTTGCTGAAGTGCGAAGGTGTTGTCTATTTACCCCAGAATTTTTCCAGAGTCTTAGAGCATATGCGTATGATCGATAAACCTTAGATAAAGAGGAGAAATGTTTTAAAGGGTCTTCCTTTTCTGCGAAAAGGGTCATGACTTTTGCCGTTTTGGCTTCCAAATTTGTGTCATTTGGGATTTCATACGATGGCCAACGGTCTTTTGGCATTCTGAGCCATTGAGGTCCCTGCCACCAGAGATCACTAGTCTTTAGCTCTGCGGGTGAACATCCACGGCTCGCAATATCAGCTGGATTCTTTTCCGAATCAACATGTCTCCAATTTTCTTGTCCAACATTATCAGCAATTTCCGAGACTCTATTTCCAACAAATGTGCTCCAATGACAAGGAGGCTTTTTTAACCATGCTAATACGATGGTAGAGTCGGTCCAAAATTGTGTCGAATATTTTGATATCTGTAGGCTATTTACAATGGATTTAGCTAATTTTGATAGTAATACTGCCCCGCATAACTCGAGTCTGGGTATTGATAATTTTTTAATAGGAGCGACACGAGTTTTTGCTGCTAATAAGAATGTATGCGCCTTATGGTCAGTATTTTCCACCCGAATATAAAGAGTGGCTCCATATGCGCTTTCTGACGCGTCACAAAATCCATGAATCTCTACAGAACCATCTAGCGTGTATTGAATCCATCGAGGAACTCTCAGATATTCAATATCTTTGCTATTTTGGACGAAATTGTTCCAGTTCATCTGAGTTATTGGCTTCAATTGATCATCCCAGTCAATTTTGTCTAGCCAGATTTGTTGCATTATTAGCTTGGCTACAACAACCACCGGTGCCAGCCATCCACATGGGTCAAACAATTTGGCTATCGTTGATAAAACTTCTCGTTTTGAAGATACATTTTTATTTTCATTGAAGGTGGTGTGAACGAAAAATAATCGCCTGAGATATTCCATCGAATTCCAAGGGTCTTAGTTGAAGCATCTTCGGAAATGTCTAGCCAATTGAGTGGTAGCAAATGTTCATGTGGAATATCTTGTATTATTTTGCGATCATTTGATGCCCATTTCATTAGTGTAAAACCAGCAGAGTCTAAAGCAGCAGTTAATTCCTTTCGAGCTTTTATTGATTCATCTTCAGTGTGGCCGCCAGCTAACACATCATCAACATACAAATTATTCAAAATTATATTTGCGGCTCTAGGGTACGATTCTTTGACATCTTCTGCTAGTTTAAGAAGAGTTCTCAATGCTAAATATGGTGCGCAGTTAACTCCAAATGTAACTGTCAGCAGCTCATAATCCTCTACTGGGTTTTCCGGAGACTTTCTAAAGAGAATTCTTTGATATTTTGTTTGATTTGGATCCAAAAGTATTTGGCGAAACATCTTTGTTATATCTGCATTGAAGGCATACTTGAAAAATCTCCATTTTAAAATTTGCAATACTAAATCCTGTTGAAGAATGGGTCCAGGAAATAGTATGTCATTGAGACTTGTTTTGTTTGATGAAGGACAAGATGCGTTAAATACGACTCTTAACTTCGTTGTGAGTCGATCGGGTTTTATCACAGCGTGATGTGGTAGATAATAATTTGGCATTTTATCTATTTCATTCGGATTGACTTTCCTCATATGACCGAGTTCTAAGTATTCAAGTATTGAAGCATCATATTGTTCTTTGATCTCTGGTGTTTTCATAAGTTTTTTCTCCATTCTGTAGAATTGAGCTAGGGCGATGTTTCTGGAATTCCCCAATTCCTCGCATTTTTTGAATGGGAGAGTCACCACATATCTTCCATCCTTGTTCCGTATTGTTGTTTCAATGAAGTTTTGTTCACAAAATTGGTCTTCTTCTGACCGTAAAACTTTTTTAGGGGTCTCTTCCACCTCCCAAAAACGTGTAAGTACTTTCTCTATTGAAGTTGTATTTAGAAGTGATATTTGTTTTCGTTGAAGGATGCTTCCTGGTATGGGTCCTCCAACTATCCATCCAAACTTGGTTTTTTGTGTTAAAATTGATCCAAATGTTTTCATTGGAGTTCCAATTGTGAATATTAATGGTCCTATGTCCATTCCAATAAGTAAATCGATTGGTTGACTAACGTAAAATTTCGGGTCAGCCAGTTCTAATGCTGTTACATCTCGAAGTTGTGATTCATCTAAGTTTTGTGGTGGTAGATTTGAAGGTAAGTTCTTTAAAACTGGAGCCCAGACTTCCAGTTTAAAGCTAGGGTCGTATTTGGATCTCATAGTGAACAAGCAAGATTTCGTTGAAGTCTCAGAAACAAATTGACTTAAGCCAGTGACATGAACTAAGTTATTCCGTGTAGGTAACTTCAAAAAGTTTTTCATCTTTTCCGAAATAAAGGTGGATTGTGATCCTGAGTCTATTAGAGCTCGGGCATCGTAAAGTTGTCCTTTGGTTTCAATTTGTACTATTGCTGTGAAGAGTAGTGTTCCTCCAGATTGTCGCTCACAAATTCGCTTATCTTGGAGGGTCAAAGTAGTAATAGTAGTTGGTTCTAGGTTTGTAGTGGACTGTATTTGATTTGTAAGAGCGGCAGCACTAGTACTAGGTCGTGCTTCCACTCGAGCTAGGTATGAGTTAGTTGTTTGGGTTTCCGTTCCCTTGTGTAACAAAGTGTTGTGTTTCATAGTACAAATACGGCAGCCAAAGCGACTTTTGCAATCCTTTACTCCGTGATTTGATGACAAGCAATTGTAGCATAAGTGTGAAGTTTTCACGATGTGAATTCTGTCATTCACACTCTTTTTCAAAAATTCGCTGCAATCTCTTATGAAATGATTTGATTTGCAGACTTGACAAGTTTGAGTATTTTTCGGCTTATTTTGTTGAGGTAATATTACATTAGTAGGTCTTCCTCCAAAGTTGTTTGTATTTTTTGAGACATTTGTTTGAAATGTTTTCAAAAATCTAGGCGTGTGATTGTTAGTTGGTTTTTGTTGAGCGAATTTCGATGTAGAAGGCTTTATGTTACCAACTGATTCCAAAGTTTTGAATTTGTTTGTTAAGAAAGCGTCAAACTGTTCCCATTTTGGAATTTGTTTACAATCGCTTAATGAGTTCTCGAATTCTTCTAAAAAGCCTCTAGGTAATTTTGTTGAACAAATGTATATTAAAATCGGATCCCATCCTTTAACATCAACATCAAGCATCCCCAGTGTCTGAATGCTGCTATTAACAGTGCGTTGTAGTTTTTGTATAGTGTGACTTGATTCAGTAGAAACTCCAGGTAGATTAAAAAGTGTCTTGATTTCTTCATTAATTTGCATTCGTTTATTCTCGTAACGATCTGTGAGATTTTTCCATGCTAATGTAAATCCATCATTAGTTAGTGGGACATGTGAAATAATTTCTCTAGCTTCTCCTGCTGTCTTCTGCGTTAAATGGAATAATTTTTCGACATTGCTTAATTTTGAGTTGTTAATGTAAATTGCCGAAAATAGATCTCTGAAAGTCGGCCATTCTCTATAACCACCTTTAAATGTGTCTGTATCGCATGGAGGTAGCCGCCATACGTTTGTGAAATCCACTTCCCTTCCTTGTTGTGACATCTCTGACTCTCTTTTCATTTTTTCCTGTGTCTTTTCATCCAAAAGATTTTGAATTTGTCCATTTATTGAACTCAGCGCTTTTTTGTACGATCCCATGGTATCCATATAGTGCTTCCTCAGTTTATTTTTATCGATCGGCTTTCCTTCCTCTTCTGGAACATAATCCCGACAGTCTATGTAGGCTCTCTTGACCTGGTCCCATGCAGAGTCCAACTCCATTCGTGTTGTTTCCAAAGTATGTACCGTGTCATCAGGTTTGGTTATTGAAAAAATTGAAATATAATCCAGAAGATCGTTGACGCAATTTGTGAATTTATCGCTTAAAGTTTTATCCATTTTGAAAACTGAGCGTTAACCTTTACGAAATTTTGTTGGTTTACAAAAAAGAAAAGTTGCCCAATGAAAAGGACTAACTTGGTTTAGAATTTAAACTTTTATCCAAATTTTGATTTTTTAAAATGAGGATAAGTTTTTTTTTTCCAATATTTGTCGACGAAAACGATCCTATTTTATTGGTTTGAGTCAAATTATATTTCGTTCCTTTCAATAATTTAAAAGTTTTTTTCAAAAATTCAAAAATTTTTTTTTATATTTGACGCCGGACTGACTTGATTAAAAATGTTTGCTGGGTTACCAGAAGGGTCAAATTTTCGCCAAAATGAGCAAAAAAGAAAATAAAATCTCTTAAAGTCCACTTACAGGAGGATTTTATTTTTGCAATTCGACAAATAATCAAAAGTTTTTAAAACAGAAGTGTTTAAACGAGAATTGCAAATTACCAGAGATGTTTTTTCCAAAAAAAAACGAGAGTCTAATTTGATTGTCAACGAGAAGTTGAAAATCCCAAAAAAAAATTCAGAGAATCCAAAAAATTTCAACGAAGTAAAAATGTGTGTTGGGTTGTCGAAAAAAATTTTAAAATTTTTTAGTTAAAATCACTTAATATCCTATGAAAGGAGGATTTTATTTTATAACCAATAACTTTGATTATTGCTTGTGAAAATTTGTCTGATTCAACAAATTTTCTAAATTCGCCAAATTTTTTCGATAAAATTCGCAACGAGAATTAGAGAAAATTATGTATGTATAAATCCAAATATTTCAGAAGAAATATTTCAAACAAATAATTTGGGTCAAAAATCCAAAAATTTGAGCAAAAATTTCCAAAAAATTTGATTTGGGTCAAGGTCCAAATATTTCAGCGGAAAATTTTATGTCCCAGCAAAATATTTCAAAAGAAAATAATTTGGGTCAAAATCCAAATATTTTCAGCATAAATTTCAAGAATTGCAGAAAAATTGAAGAAATTGCAAAAAATTTAAGAAATTGCAAAAAAAAATCCAAGGAAGAAATTTTTCCCAAAAAGTCGTGTAATGTGTCACAAAATCAAAAAAGTATACCAGCAAAATATTTCTGCGAAAAATGCAAGAAATTAATTTTGGGTCACAGAAAAAATTTTAAGCTCCTTAGAGCAATAAATATTGTGCTAAATGGGAAAAAAGGTTAAAATTAGAATAAAAATAAAAAATTGTAAATATATGGGATCGGTTTTATGTCTGTCCACCAGACTCCGATATAAAATTTGTTCTCCAAAATTTTAAATAAATTTGTAGTTTAAGTTTCTCATGTATGTCTGTCCACCAGACGCTTGCTTTTTTTTTTCCAAAAAATGTTTCAAAAAAAAAATTAGGTTATTTTTCGTCTGTCCACCAGACGCTATTTTTTAAACGGGGTTTATTTACTCGTTTATGTATTCGGATGACGCCAAAATTTTCCAAAAAATATGGCGACTATATATTACAAGTGACGCTTTGTTTCAAAAGTTGTATATAAAATTGTTGTAATATGGCGTTTATATGCTTTCTTGGTGACGCCAACTTTCCAAAGTTAAAAGCTTATGTGTTTGTGTCAATATGGCGCTTATGTATTCGCCTGAACTCCACGTTCATAAAATTCCAGAATTTTTAGTATATATATATTTGGATATGGCTGAAAATTCCCGTTTTTTCAGAAAAGAATATGTCTGCCTGTTTTTCTCGGGTCAAAAGCCAACTGTCCGTCCAGAAAAATGGCTCAAAATTGGTAAATTTTCAGTCACTGTGTCAGAGTTGGCAACTATCAGCTTTGAATATGGGTCAAAGTGTTATTGCAAATTATGGGAATATGCGGGTCAATGCAAATATTGAAGATTTGCTTGCTCCCGAAATGCCCTTTTGTGTCAAAAAAGAAAATTTCACGAGTACTCACTTTGATGTTGGGTTTTGGGTCTCGGTTGTTGTTGTTGTGCTGCGTGTGTCC